AAAGATGGTAGAGGACAGGAAGGCCTGGAGGAATGTTGTCCGTGGGGTCACGATGGGTCGGACACGACTTTGCAACTAACAACAACAACAAAATAATGTACAGAGAGGCCAAGGAACAGAGTGGCTGGTTCTCCTTCCCGAAGATGAGCTCTGAGATCCCCCCCCCCCGAGACACCATGTGCTGTACTTAAAAAACGCACAGTTGCTTAACAACAGCAACAGGGAGAGTGGGATTTGGGGTCATTAAGTGAAATGACCACAATGGGCAGGCTCCATTATAGTCAAAAGTTGAGGATTACCTGTATTTCCTTATAATTCATTGCTTCAAAGTAATTTCTGAGTAATTAATAGGATTATCTTTTGTATAGCACCTGTAACTATTTAACTATTCCAAGTTGTTGATAATTTTTAAAGATTACACAAAAAATTTATAAAAGTAACTTAATCTGAAAACACAAGGTGTCCCCTATTTTAAAGTACACGAAATCATGAATTCCTTAGATACCCTCTTTAAATTATTAACTGAAAATTAGAAAAAATATCTTTTAGATTATTTTTATATGTATATAAAGATAAGAACATATATACTGTCCTTCCAGTGTTTTTTTTTTAAAAAATTATAATCTATACAACAAACCTGAGAATTTTACTGGTGATTTTCCTGCTTAGTTTTTGAATCAAGGAAATGTAGGTGAATGCTGCCACCTAGCTACATGTGATGTACATTGAAAATACTTAGTAAACAGGAATACAAAAAAACATTTCAAAATACTGTCCTCTATTTTTCCAGCTTATTCATTTAGTTAAATAATTCTTTCCCTGTAGTAGTATTTCTTTAAAAATCAGTCACTGTTTAGCTGTTCTTCAACTTAATTTCCAAACATCACAAAGAGAGTTGGGCCTTTTTTGCACTAAAAAGGGTCATGGTGGGAAGATCTAGTTACCCACAAATAATGCTGTGGATGGAGAACTGCTGAGGGACATAAGAGGAATTTGTTTTCTGCTTTCATCCACCAAAGTCATTAATTTAAAAGAAAAACTTTCTTGTTCTTAAAAAAAGTTGTATTTTCAGACAAAGTAGCCACATACACACACACACACCTCTAGGAGAAGATTTGCTGTACTCTGGATCCCCCTAATTAAACAATGCCACATATTGGAACTCAGGAAGCATGCCTTCTCAGTTACTTACCCTGTCCTCTGGAATGAGATACTTTCAGAGATCTGTAAGGCTCTCCCCTGAGATGGTGTTTTGGAAAGCCTTGAAAACCTTGCTATTCTCCTAGGCTTTGGGGTGGAGTGGATGCTGGCACCCATTAGTTGAGTTTCTGTATATGCAGTGCATTAGTTGGACAGATGCTACCTTGTTTATACTGTATTTTTAAAATTTTCTTTGATATTGTGAGCCACCAGAGTTGTTTTCAATGAAGTGGTAGCTGAATCCAATAAAATAAAAATAAATACATTTAAATTAGATAACTTTTCTTTTACTCTCTTTCTATCATGAACTAAAGTTTCCTCCTTCTATATTAGAAAAAAGAATTGACAGCTAGAGCCTTCTCTTCTGAGAAAGACACATAAAAAATAGTTAAAACTATTTTTGCAGTATTTTAGAAAGTTCTCTGTGTATCAATAGTAATCTTCGATGACTCCCCATTCATTCATAGTACAAAATGTTTGACTCCACCTTCTGGATCTCATTTTGCAGGGCCTAACTGTTCACGGTCCCAGAAATGAAACATTCTTTCACTTGTACTATGTGTTGACCAAACAATTACCAGGACTTTAATAGAAATAGGTAAAAACCTTTCTCCTTCAGCATCGCAATTCACTGGATATGACCTATTTTCCATCTGAGTACCTTCCAATCAGCTCTTCTAAAAACAGAATGGAAAATCAAACTTCCATAAATACTATTAATTTATACTATATATAGTCATGGATCAGCTAAGAATTTTAGGTGCCAAAATGCACTCAAAAATCAGGTTAAGCTTATCCATGAAAATATTTGTACCTGTATTTCCTGTACAAATATGCTTCTACATCCATCCACAAATAAGCAGAACCTCATCTTTTTAACCAAATACCATGAAAAATGCATGACAGCTTATCTGTGGGCAGCACATTTTTTTCAAATATTTTGATTAAAAAATTGAGGATTTGCTTATTTGTGGATGGGCTTATCCGCAAAAATGTATAGTACTTCACTGATTATATTTATGTGGAATGAAAATTTAGCATTATCAATGCTTCTGGGCCCTGATGGAAAGTTTTACCTATTTCCATCAGGGCAATTGTTTTGTCATCACATAGAAAATTTCATTTCTGGGACCCTAAGCAACTATGCTTGGGCCCTGTAGATTGAACTTTGATGCTGAGGTCCATGAAAATTTAACTTTATGGAAGATCTCCATTTAGAGGCTGTGTGCGTCCGTGTGTGTGTGTGTGTGTGTGAGAGAGAGAGAGAGAGAAATAATCTGCTAGAATTGGGGATGGCATCAGGAATCACATACTGTACATCAATTACTTTGCTGTGATTATTTTAAAGGATTTTTCTTGATTTCAAATATAATTTTACTTCCCTATTTCACAATAGTTGCCAGATACTCAAATCAAGATTATTTTAACAGTTCAATATATAGCTGATAGTTTGGTTGCTTCCAAAAAATCTGAGATATTTTCATCTAATGTCCAAAACTAAATGCACATCTTATCTGTATAAAATATTAAAGGATATTTTCAAAGTTACAGCTTATGAACTAAAGAATTGGAACATCTAGTAGTGGGACATAAATAGTTAATTTTTTAAAAAATGGTGTATTAGTTTCATTGAATTTAAAATGAAAACTGATTAAATAAAAGGAATGTATTGGATTTGCCTCTTGGCAGAGCTAGATTTCCAGATGTGGAAGAAACTGAAATCTACGGCTAGTCCTTGGATTATGACCATACATTCAGCAACCATTCAAAGTTATAACAGTGCTGAATGAGAAGGATTTACAAGGGGTCCTTAAGAGTTCTGGCTGTTGCAACAAGCCACAGCCACATGATCACAATTTCCAATGTTCCCTGCAGCTTTGCATAAGCAAAGTCAATGGGGAAGTTGGAAATCATGATCTCATGATTAATGACCCATGTGATCCTTGTTTAACAATGGCAACCAAGACTGCCAGAATTGCTGTTGCTAAGCAATATGGTCAAATGATGGTTAACAACAGAATTCCCGATCCCAATTGCCATTGTAACCTAAGGACTACCTGTAATATTTTCAGGCAACTTTTTGAATGTTCAGTTATCTAATAGAAATGCTTCATTCATATCTTCTACTTATCTAGGCCAACTATAATAAACTCTGACAACATCACTTTTCTTTCTCATTTTAGTCCAACCCAAATTCTCATAACAGTATTTTTATGTTCCAATTCTGTGTAGTTTCATGCCTGTATCAACCCTCTGCCCATATGTTTCTGCCTTTGACCCCTGCACTATGTCCCAATTGTTGATAGTATATTTGGTTCTAGGTTTTTGCCACGCTTTGCCTTTTGCTCTTAACACCCTTCTGATGAGATTAAGATACCTAGTCCTAATGAGATATAATTGTCCTATTGCAAGGAGTTGCTCATGTACATGGCTCAGTTCATGGTCTTAGCAGCAGCATCTATGTGACTATTTGTTCAGTTCCAGGACCCTGTGCTCTTTTTGTACTATGACTTTCACCTGGAAGGACTGACACTACTTGAGCTCTCAGTTCCTTAACCTCTATGCGCAAAGCATCATTATCTTTCAAGATCCACATAAAGTCTTTTCTGACAGTGTCATATAAACAAACCTAAGAAGAGGGATAGCAGCACATCCATTTTACACAATGAACTTAATGCATAAAACATCATATTCTGCTAGGTTCTGTCATCAATTAAGATATTTCTCCTTGACTCTGTATTTACAATATGCAATTGTAAAAGATTCCACTTTATTCCCCATGCTATTTAATAACTTCATGACCCTGCTAGTAAGATCATTTAGAAAAAATGTTATCATATACTAATTGCAACCAGCTGGATATGCTGAAAAAAACTGCAAAAGGGCCAATTGACTATGGTCAATGAAAAAAACTCTGCTAAGGCTGGACAACAGTAAATAGTTAATTTTAGTAGTAAATTACTAGTTAGTAAATAGTTAATCAGCTCACAGTAGAGGAATTAATTATGTTCTGGATGGAGTTACACTGTTGCAAAGGATCAGTTTCACATTTTGGGGATACTTATGGATCTATCTTTGACACCAAAGATATAAATAATCTGTGTGTGAAGCACATTTTACCAACTTAGACTGGTATGCCAGTATGATCGTACTAGAAAGAGACAGCCTTGTTACAGTATCTTGTTTAGATTACTGTAATGCACCATAAATGGGGCTGCCTTTGAAGATAGTTAATACATTTTGTTTCTGATTTGAATTTGAGGTGCTAATCTTAAAGTAATTTGTCATAATTTGGAACTACAGCATCTGAAGTACAACATCTTTCCCTACATTTCCCTCCCAATAATATAAGATGACTTACAACCACATGGTAGATAGCTACACAGAGCATTTTTTTTCCTATTGGCTACTCTCCAATTTAGAATACCCTCTCAAGTGACATATGCCTAGTGCCATCTTCACTATCTTTATTTTCTCAATGCCGCTATGCTGTTTTTCCCTCTACCTTTTCGTTATAGCTTAGCTATTTTACTATGTATCGTTTGTAAAAAAGTAATGTATATATTAAGTGTTCTAAATTGTTCCAATTGCTGGATTTACTATAAACTGCCTTTAAATATGCAGCAAATATTTAAATAATGCAAAACACTCTGAACTTGCTAAATAAACTTCAAAAAGATGGTATCATGAACATGCTCTTCTGTCCCATTTATGATGGAAGCAGCAATACATTCCTTACAAGTCAAGGATAGTCAAACAAAAGTAAAGCCAGGTAGGCAAGAAAATCAGTTCATTATATCAAAGGAATCCACAATGAAGATCCAGAAGCAAGGAATTGAAGCAAATCTGATTAAACGAGGGCAGTGATTATAGAAATTATGGATTACTAAGAAACAATTGCAGTTGCTGGTGACACTGAGAACTGTAACAGTTAAATGTTATGTTCAAGATATTGCTGTAGGAACCCAGATATTGCTAACTATATGAAACTATGGATGAGTTCCTAAACCTGCATAATCTGTCTCAATTGCTCACTCCATTTTGCCTCTTGCATTCTTTCATATACAACAGGAACTGAAAGAATAAGATGAATGGATTTACAGACAGCTCATAAGCTACCATTTAGATATGAAGCTGCAATTGCTTAAATCTTTCCTAATCTAACCTTGAGATAAGCTTCCACTATTCCCCTTCTCAAGGTCCCTCTCTTAAAGCAGGGTAGTACGGTAGTCCTCAACTTACAACAGTTCATTTAATGACAGTTCGAAGGTACAATGGCATTGAAAAAACATGACCATTGTTCACACTTATGACCGCTGCAGCATCCCCATGGTTACGTGATCAAAATTCAAATGCTTGGCAACTGATTCATATTTATGATGGTTGCAGTATCCTGGGGTCACCTTTTGCGATCTTCTAACAAGCAAAGTCAATGGGAAAGCCAGATTCACTTAACAATCTTGTTACTAAGTTAACAACTGCAGTGATTCACTTAACAACTGTGGCAAGAAAGGTAATAAAATGGGGCAAAATTCACTTAACAAATGTCTCACTTAGCAACAGAAACTTTGGGATCAATTGAGATTGTTAGTCAAGGACTACTTGTAGTAGTATGTGAAGAGCATGCCAAGAACTGTACAACTCTTCTTGAGATAGCTGGACTTAGTAATTTACATTAGATCTTCACTGGCTATCAATTTTGTATAGGGCCCAATTTAAGACAATACTCTTGATCTTTAAAGTCAAATGGCTTGAGGCTTTAGCTATGGAACCCCCTTTCCTACTGTGAACCATGTTAAGATCAGCAAGAGAGGCCTTTCCTAATATGCTTCATATCTTTAAAAAGATTTTAAATTATTTTACTGATTAACTTGAAAAACATTACATTTTATATAAGATGCTTTTATTCTTGTAAAGTAAACCCTAAGTATTAGATAAACAACAAAACAAGAAGAAATTCAGTAATAAGCAATGAAGCTATTGGCCTAATACGTATCTTTCACATGGAGAATGCAAAAGGAACATTATACAGTAAAGCAGCCTTCCTCAACCTGACTTTATCAAGTACAATACAGGTAGTCCTCGCCTTATGACCACAATTGAGTACAAAATTTCTGTTGCTATTGAGTTTTGCCCCATTTTCCGACCTTTCTTGCCACAGTTGTTAAGTGAATCATTGCATTTGTTTAGTAGCATACTTGTTAAGTGAGTCTGGCTTCCTCAATGATGTTGCTTGTCAGAAGGTCGCAAAAGGTGATTGCATAACCCCGGGACACTGCAACCATCATAAATATGAACCAGTTGCCAAGCATCCAAATTTTGATCACGTAACCATGAGGATGCTGGAATGGTCGTTAAGTGTGAAAAACGGTCATAAGTAACTTTTTTCAGTACCGTTATAACTTTGAACAGTCACTAAACGAACTGTTGTAAGTTGAGGACTACCTGTACACTGAAACCCCTATCATTTCCTATCAGTAGGGGAAACCG